GCGGCATATTTTCTGCTCATCCACTTTGTATTCAAGCATGTTTTGGCTGGACCAAAAGTGGCAGAGTGATTATTAATGGCTGGCAGCATGGCACTCATCTCCCCTCGAATAGGAAAAATACCTATTAAATCCTGAAAAAAAGACTGGCTAAGCTCTGTGTGTCTGTGTGTGAGGCACCAAGTAACTCAAAAGAACGGGTGTAAACAGCAAACTAAACCAATGGGATTCCTCTACAGTAATTATCATGTGAATAAGTATCACCACACACAGTCACTTTGATTGTTCCAAACAAGGTCATTTCCCACAGTACTGCTGACCCGGGGCCAGCCTGTGAGCCGGTCAGTGCCACTCTCAGTGCCTCTGCACTGCTTTGTGACTATCAGCCCAGTGTGTGAGTGTGTGCGTGGTCTGCTTTGCCCATCACGTCTGAGATACTCCTTTCAGAAAGGAGAATGACAGATCTTCTCCATCCCGTTGCTGGTAAGTCACTTAAGAAAATGTGGGATGGGATTTGCGTGTTTAGATTTGCACTCACCACTTTCTCACCACTTCTGTTGGTTCAGAATTGAATGACAAGCAAATGACAGACAAAGGAATTTGTTTTTTTTTGTTTTGAGTTTTGATGTGTAGGTTGATGTGTGGTACAGGTACAGTTGAAAACTTTCTTTTTACTCAAATTTCAAGAAATGAAGCACTCTGAACACAAATATGTCGGGTTCCCCCCCAAAAATTGTGGCTAATTTACTAAACCGGGTATGGATATTTCATTATGTCCCATCTGGATATTCGGTTTCACGCATGCAGCAGTTCAGAGTCCCCCCTCACTTGTAAATCAGCCCACATCAAGGCAGAATGCTCCCTGACTCTCTAAATGAAACATGATTTCAGCTCATTATGGTAAAGCTGAGTTCACTGTCCAGCTGACCACAAAGGTCATCTTCAGTAAGTGAGAACATGGCAGAGAGACTTTTTTCACAGGGCTGGTGATTTTTACAGGTTGCACATCTGTGATTTTTTGTGCAAGAGCTGTTTTTCATGGAAAAGTGACCATCAGTTTATTTCACTGCCAAGCCATTAGCTTTTTAGATACTTTTTTCAGGTAAGATATGTCTTGAAACAATATAAACCATCACGTTTGATTACTAAAGATGGTCTTTTTCCAGCGTGGCGCATTCTTTCAACAATAACTCACTTTATCTGCTAGTTCAATCAGCAGTAGCAAGAGATTTAGACTAATTCCACTGTGTCAGATATAAACTGAGGCCCAAATCAAGACACATATGTCATCTGTGGATATTTTTAAATGGCTTGGCAGGTATAAAATCATTAACTTGCCGGTTAACACGGAGCTCTAACATATCGGTTGCTTTTACAGATCGTGCTGTCATATCAAAAATATTTACAGTGAACAAGAACACTGGGATTGGGGTCTTTATTGGCATTCCATTTGTTGTAGAATCCGTTCCAGGAGAGCACAGAGCCATAGGGGAGCAGACAAAGTGCAGCCCTCAGGGCTGGCAGAGAGCTGTAGATAACCAATAACACCATCTATAACATTTGAGCCAAATGATACAGTGATTGATGCAAAGAGTTTAAAATGTGTTTCAAACTGATGGAACCATATTGCTGCGGTTGCTTAGAGGCAATGACTCTGAATACGTGGAAAGGCTCACACTCCCTGCTGCCGGTTGAGTACCGATATGTAGCCTTTTGCCAATTTATTATCACTGTCGAACTGGATCTTCTTATTCCACTCTCCACGTTCAAATATAAATTCCTCCCAACTCCTCACAAAAGCCATCCTAGCAGATACAGTAGTCATATGTGTGTATTATACAGAGAAATCCTCACATATTACCCGTAAATCTGGTATGAAAAAGGCGAGATGTTGCCTTAGATGTATTGAGGCTACATATCTTATGCCGAGGCTGCACATTAAGGCATCATCCATAATGGACTTTTTACATCAACATTAGGGTTTTGTCAACAACCCTCTCACAATATTGTGCTTTAGGGTGTGATAAGCAGACTTCAGTGGTCTTGAAATGTTTTTAATTTTTAAACTTCAGTTTGTGACAGATTGTATGCAATGTAGGAAGTCGTGAAAGTATCTTTTGAAAATATCTTTTCCTTTCTTTAAAATTATTGCTGCGCAGGTTAACTCCCAAAAAGAGAGTTGGTGAAGAGATCGCGATTGCTTGTTTCTCAGAAGCAAGACTAGGTTGAATTGCCAAATATTTGTGTGGCTAACAATGTTAGAACTGGTTTTCTTTTCAGTTTTTGGCATAATCTCATGTGATTTGTGCTAAAACAAATCACCACCAATGTCTCAGTATGATACAAAGTGAACTCTCTAAAAACTCCCCTTTGTCAGGTCAGCACTCATACGTGCAGCATTTGAATTTCAGTTCTCATATGAGGGGTGAAATCATGATTGTTCGCACATGTAAGTCATCCGTCATCTCAACAGCTGAATTCACCATTTTCTGCCTTTTTGAGTCATAAGAGAATTGAATTCTTTTAATGTGACTTTTTCCTGATCCCCCACAGATGCATACCTCTTTTTTATTTCTGAAAGAGGTGAACAGTTTCACATTGAGGACTTTGACCCCTCTCAGGTCAGCTACTGATTAGTTATCTCCCAACATCATGCAAAACCGACTGCTTGCGATCATGCAAGCCTGCCGTCTTTTAATTTTCCAAAGATTGAAGGATGCTGACAGGGTTGTTCTTCTCCCTTAATCTCATAAGTGAAAAATGTGCCAGATATGATCTCAGTGTTTGTTTTGGACGCCTGGTTTTGTCCAATACTCCACATCATGCTATAATTCTCCTGCCCTCTGACCTTTTTGCAGGCTCCCTCTGGGCTCTTTCCTTTTAAGGACTGTGAGATCCCGTACAGGTCAAGGACAACAGTTTGGATTTATATTGAAAAATGGAGTTTCTCTTACAGACTCTCGGCTACAGAAGAAAGAAAGAAAATGTGCGTGATCTGCTCTTTGCTCTCTGAAAAGAGATGCAATTTAAGAGAGAAACCCTCAGACAGGATTGAACCTGCTTTTCCAGTGATCTGTTAATCCTTTCGAAATGAGTAAGAGCAAAATGAAAAGCAACGGGGGAGAGTAGATATTGGAATATTTCTCCTATGCAAAATATTGTTCAGCAAAAAGCTCAATTTGGCAAATAAAACCATCTAAATTCTTTTTCCAGTGTATAATTAACAGGGTTGTTTATTGGCAGAAGACAAACTTGTGTGATAACGCAAAGAAAGCAAGTGAAATGAAAAAGATGCATACCGTGTGGTCCAAGTATAAATGAAAATTCTAACTCTCTGCAAATTAGTTTTTAATTTTTTGTCTCGAGGGCTCAAATATAGTAAAATTAACTATGGCACAAATCAATGTGATATAAATTATGTGGAAAATGGAGAAAATATTACAGCCAACAAAGCTGACCCGTGTCTGGTTTTATGCTAGAGTACAGATAAGTGATTTCAGGACTTTCACCATTGGTCATTGTTTCCACTCAAAGAAGAAGCTATCCGCCAGTGAAACACATGGTTACGCATGGAAATGTTGGGTCATGCAGAAGTTAAAGTTGACATAACCTCAGTGCGGCAGCAACACACAGTTTCTGTGAACACGTAGCCACAATAATGGGCCATCATGATAAATTAAGTCAGGTTCACTGGATTAAACAAAAAACCTCTCTACTTTCTTCTGATCGGATCCTACTAAAGCCACTTATAAAGTGAAATTGTCTATTAGATTTTCCAGTTATCTAAGTTGGTTGAGTAGGCAACCTATGATTGACATCCAGCATTAATGTTCAGCACTAGTGCAGAATGTATAGTTCCAATGTTCCTCCAGAGTTCTTTATATCTCTTGACACCACACATTTAATTTCTTTACTCCGGTTTTTTTCCACACTTGATAGAAGGCTCACCAACACCCACAAACATCTGTTTTTTTTTTCTTCTTCGTTGGGAAAGGCGATATTTTTTGCATCCCCTGTGTCAGATGACTCAGCAGAACTCTGGGGGATTTTTTGCTCCCGTTCCAATCTGTGATGATGACATGACAAGAAGGTGAGCACTTTCATCATCATTCCAGATCTACTTTGAGATGGTGGACGATTATGCATTTTAAGTTTGAATTTATATGTCTGATTCCAGCAGAGTGAAAATGCTTTAAAACTGTTCAAAAATGGATTCACCACAACCTTAGCTTAGAAAAGTTGAAAATCATTCCCTCTGGTTGTACTAGTCAACGAGGCGTTCCTTGAGGAGAAAAGTATACTAAGTGGTAGGGTTAATCATACTGCTTGTCCCAGTGGAAAAAACGGAATTGCTTGTTTCAGCTGATGTACTTTTTTTTACAATCCATGTACATGCTAATTTTGTTCAAAGATGGTATTATTCAGTGAAATAGCTTATAATCTTCTGACTGAATCTGCAGACACTACTGGACAGAAATCCTAGCCTGATCTTACCTCCAGTACTCCACTTTCACTTTGTTACAAGGTTGTAATAAAGTGCCACGGCAGCAGTGCCTAAGAAGAGCTTATGTATACAAGAGACACAAATGGCTTTCACTCCTTTTGGTAAAACTATTGCTTTAGGAGGACAATTTGGTCTGTGTGTGGGCCCTGTGTTTCAAATACTACAATACTATATCTCGCATGGAATAAAGAATGAAAATGTTAAATTAACTTGTGAATTTCATGCATGTAATGCAAGTAAAGAAACGGTCAAATAAAATATCTTGCTGCAAAATATGTATGTTTAGATGACAGCCACTCTGAGGCAATAAAACTCACTTGGAATGTAAGTAAGAGTACCATTCAGGGTTTTGGTCCATTGACATTCTTTATTTGGGATAGGGAAGAAAAACAGGACTAAGAGGGGGCTGAGACTTGGAGCCCTTTACCTCCCACATAGCCCCCCCCCCCACAGTCTCTTCCTCTGTTTTTGTTCAGTAACAACCAATAGATTCAGATTCTCTGGGCAACATAAACAGATATAATCAAGATTTTAATCAAGGTTTTAAAAGAGAGACTAGGTTTCACCAAAGAGGAGACATCGATGTCAGAATATTTAGCAAAACTCTGCAGATGTGTATTTATATGTGCATGTTTTTTCTTCCCTGTGGGTAGTCAGTATTGAGCATGAATGACAATGAAAGAGGGAGAAAGAGAGTTGTGTGCAACACTCTGCAAAGCTCCCCGGGACCTATCATTACCAGATGTCACAGTAAGAGTGGCTGCCAGCCGAAACACTGGCTTTTGCCTTAAACTCCAGCTTTCTGTCTCTTTCTCTTCCTCTCCTTTCTTTCCTTTTTTCTCTCTCTCTCTCTTTCTCTCTCTCTCTCTCTCCCTCCTTGTCTCCTTTTCCCTCCCGCGCTCCCCTTTATTTTTCTTCCTCCCTTCTCAATTTCCAGCTGTTTTTGGAGCAAGCAGCGCGAACGAGAGAAGTTCTCCACCAATTGTCTCAGCCCCGAGAGGAGCTCGGTGGTTGGACCCCACCCTCCTCCTGTCTCTCTCCCTTCTCTGTTCTGTTCCTCTCTTCCTCTCTTACGTTTTTCTCTCCTCCCCTTGCTGTGAGAGAGCACACCTGCTCGATTTTGGCTGCACGCGTTTCGAGTCCAATTACCCCATAGGCCCTCTTAGCCATTTCACATTCTCATCCCCCCACTTGACTGGATTTTGGGAGTCAAGCTCATCTGCTCAGCTATTTCTCTCCTTGCCTAGCTTCTGTGAACAGGTAGGTTACTACTTCAACTCTAGATCAGGAGAAAAGTATTGGTTGAGTAGTTAATGTTTATATTTGTTGGTCATCTGAGTTTGTGGGAAGAGTTTTCCATCAGACACCCTTGAGATCATTGTCACAATTTGTTTTGTCATTTCATGCATGTATTTCTCACACGAAATCTAAAGATTTCAAAAACTTCTAGTCACATGTATAGGTCATCATTATTTTACAAAATGTTTTCCATGCTTTATTTTGTTCATTCCTCCCCCAGTTCATTTAAACTGTGTTATAATATTCCCTACTGCTGCCAAGTCATGTTCCCACAGTACTGTTGGCTCGTGTGATTGGAGACGTTAATCAATGCAATCTGCATACAGCACAGAGAAAAGAGCCGTGGCAAGGGAAGGGGGTGTGGTGGTGCTGTTCATGCCGTTACCCCGGTTTTTTGCCAGAAATAGTATTCTTTTGTTCGTCTTAGAAGTATCTACCGATGAGGGCTGCGTGATTCTTTCTGAGTGCTTCTCAGTTTACCGTTTCAGCTTGAAGTTGAATCATTTGCTTGTTTTAGTAGATGTGTTTGGACAGTTGTTTGTTTAGATTGAACCCGTATGTGTTTTCTGCAAGCAACGTTTCATGAATATTTCCACATCAGTTCCCAGCAAATGACTCAGTGGTTTTGAAATGGTTCTTCAGAGACAAGATTCTAAGAGTCTTATCTTTTAAAAACATGAGTGAAAAAATACATCCGTCTCTATCTCATTTTTTCCTCCTCCTCTGGCATTTTTGGTTGTCTGTAAGTAAATAAAGAGGTCAAAATGATAAAGAGGATTTTTTTTTCTTGTTGATTCTCCACATAACAATCCTGTCAATGCTTTGATTGAAAGGTGGTTTCTACTACTTCTCAGTTTCCATTTCAGCAGTTCATTTGAGACTGCATCTAAATGATTTTAACTCCATTCTCTTATCTGACTGCTATGTAGCCCTGTTTCTTTTCAATATGAACTATCCGCCCACAGTGGCTTTGCTGCTGTGTTTTCACAGAGGCAGAACAGCTCCCAAATTGCTAGGGGCAACTTGAAGCGAGTGGCTTTGAAGAGGAGATGAAAAAATGGTTGTACCTGGCAACATACGGTGCCATTAATCCTGTAATGGTACAGCTTCCTCTATCAAAGAGAGGTCTGAAGGCTTCCCGGCAAGCCACTACACAACTCGGAGCCAACTCATTACATCCTTTTTGCCAGCAGGGATAAAAAAGTTAAGATGGCTCAGCTGCACTGACTGAACTGACTGAAGAACAAAGAAGGTACTTTAAACAGAGGCTAAAAGATGCCCACATTGTATTAAAATGGAACAGACGTGTTCACACTTTGTGATTAACATTTGAACCAGAAATGAGTGAATGGAAGGTTGCAGACACAGCCCACGATTACCAGTCAGGGGTTGCATTCTTTCCATCTGGACTTCGGTTCACCAGGTCAAAAAGAGCACAAGAACAATGGAATTGAATGGACATCAGCCCAAGAAAACTTTTTCCCCTCTCTTTGCTCATTGGAATACCAGAAAGTTCCACTTTTCAATCTTTTTGGCTGATGTTTTAAGGGTCACAGGGAGAAAAAGACCATATGCTATGGAGCAGGATGGGGAAGGAAGGAAAAGAGCCCAAAATGGGTGGAGAAGATGGAAAGAGAAGAAAGAGGGAAAAGGTTGGGCAGTTGGTCCACGTCTGTGCAGCACAGATTGTTGATAATAGGACTGAGGTTGATGGCAGGCCGACAGCTCTTCTCATGGAACAGCTGAAATGTGGTTTAACCACTCGCTGACTTTCTCAAAGAATGACTGCAAACAACAGACAGAAAATGGTCCCTCGGTAACAGTTCCCACTCTGACAGTTTTTTGTGTTTTTGTCTGTTGGAAGAAACTGTATTGATTGTGGTGGTCAGACAGGGTGTCTTGGATGTGCTTTCAGCCAAAAGCATCCAGTGAAATGGAAGACCATGCTGATTTAATCATGCTACAAGAACGTCTTGGCACTGAAAATGTTTATTGGCTGTTTCTTTGCATATTTTCAGATCAACTTTGTCTCGCTCACAAAATCCCTCACTTGTTTCAGCATCGTCTTAAGAATAATGCCCACTGACTTATTTAACAACTGTTCAATTGAGACATTTTCCATTTGAGCTTTTTTTCATTATGTATTTACACAAGCATGTGGGAGGTGAGTTCTCATTCATTCACATTCATTTGCTGATGGGTTATGAAAAAGGCCACATGTTTTAAATGTCCTGTGGCCTTGTAAATACCTTTCAGTGATTAATTGCCGACAGACGCTCTTCAGAGGCAGATACAAGCTTAAGGGAAAAAAGAGGAATGGGGGATGACAAAGGAGGGTCATAGTTAGTGTCTGGTTTATTTAGTTTTGCCCATCCTTGGTTGATTTGTTGTAAACAAAGCATCGGTAGGTCTTCATGCTTTATGTATGCATGCTCCAGTATTTTTTGGTTGGTTTGGTCACCTCCCTCTTGGAATCTCATTGATTTTTTTTTAGCTTGTTTCACTGAAAAGCAAGAAGAAAGAACAGAAAGTGAAAAAGCAAAGAGTAGAAAATTACTTTCCGCCCTTGTGCAATCTCTGCTTCCTCTCTGGGAATCATTAGTAATGCCAGGGTAAGACTCGGGGGCAATGTGGAGGGAGGGATGAGAGAGATCAGACAGAAGGGGCAGACAGGAGACCTGACAGAGATGCCGCCACCACAGGAAATGTCATCCTCCGCCCTTTTTTTCTTGGTCAGTCACGGAATGAAAAATTAAAGCTGAGAAAATAAGACAGATTATGAGTTCAACAACTGCAATATGTTTTCTTATCTGGGACACTATTGATCTGGAAATGAAAAGGCTAACATTTTTCATATCTATCTCATGTTTTGGCTGTTTTGGCAGCTTCTGAGTGCCCATCCTTGCCCTGTCAGTAGTCCTTGATCTGATAATCATTTGGAGCCTTTTCTAATTTTTGGAATTGAACCAATCAGTTTTCTGTATGAAGTGAAATTTGAATGTGAATGTATAAAGGTCAGAGAGCAATACAATTCCTCAACATCAAAGGACGCCTCCAAATCTGTCTCACCATAAAACTCATTTGACTCACGTTACAAACTAAACGGTTTAATCCATAAATATGTCCTCAGCACTCTGATCTTCATTTAATGATGTGCACTTATGCTAAAATTCAGCGGCTGTGTAAAGTTTCCTGAGAGTGACCTTTGGTTTCATAGTCTATTAAAAGGAGGCTGATCATCTTCCAGCATTTAGGGATTACTGTCAGTTCACCTTTTATGAAGAAAGCCTGTCCCATTTTGTTTTGATGAGCATGCAGACTCAAAATGATGTTGGCCATGTTCCCTGACAAAAGGCTGGGAATGAACTATAGGAATAATTACTCTGGCAAATCACACAGATGTGTGATGAGTACTTACAAGGTATACACAAAACAATCTTGGGCACACGTTAACTGAAAGTTCTACATTGTGCCTCATAGATACAAGAGTATCTCTTTTCACTAATTAGAGCACTGTTTTTTTTTTTTTCATTTGCACTTATGCTGGTATGTACGTTAATTCTTCACATAATTTTATTTAAATTACTGGAAGTTTGACTCAACATTAACAGATTATTCTTGTATTTCTACCTTCGCATTCCATTATAAAACTCCTCTTTCGGTTGTAACTTTCATACTTAATGTGCGCGCAGTGCTGTGCATCATTTCTTCTGAGCCGCAGGGCGCCAAACATCATCGCTAAAACCTTAATGATTCTAAGATGGATAGCTTTTATCTCACTGCATGAATCTAGCCCCAGTTTGACACAGAAAGACTTATAGAAGTGAGATCTAAAGTTTGCTTGACTCAGTCATGTTCCAGCCTGTTGTCTTGACAGGTCTGTAGGCTGAGCACACATCCAAGTGTACCCTGTTTAGAGCTTGTGTCAGGTTTATGTGTGTGTAGTAATGGGGGAGGGGGGAGATATGTAAGTAAAGCAGGACATCTTGTAGGTCTTGTAGTGACATCACGAGTTAACTGGGAATTAAGACAAGTAAACTTAAAAAAACAATAGGCTGTTTCTTGTATTGTGTCCATACATTCATTCCACTTTGGAAGGCTGTGATTGCTTCAATTTAGACAATTGTCATTGACTGGAAGACTTTGGAAACCATCATGAACATTCTTGTACTACTATCCTCTTGATATCAAGACCCAGAGACCCACATTACCCATTATGCAAAATCCCTAAATTCAATTATAGTAAAATTTGTTCTGATGCTGTGGTTACAAATTGGCACTTAAATTCCCAAACAGCAATCTTATAAAATCCCTTGCATTGCTTTGTCTTTGTTCAGATTGTTTCATTCTCATCATCAACAACTCTTAAACTTGATTATGACTTCCAAAGAAGCTGTAACTTCTGTTCGTAGGAAAGCTGCAGCCATTAAATGCTCACAGAGTTTGGTCTGAGGTCACTCGCTTGCATGTGTGGCTTCCATTAAAAGCTGCCGAAATGTTTATGGAAAAGGTTGACAGATTGATGGCAGGACACATCAAGGGCCATCTGAAATGCTGCATCGATAAACATGTTGATGTATATCAATCGATGAGCTTGTGGCAGCAGGTCGAAGCAGGGAGATACGGTTCAGTAATCACAAATGAAACTACTGCGATTGTTTTTGCTTCGCAGTTCCTTCAAACAGGTCTGGCACTCATGCAGGAGAGATGATTAAAAAGACTCTCTGTGTCATATTTGAGTTTAAAGCAGTAGCTTTATGCTAAATCTGATAAGCCTGCTTTGGCAGGCAACATATCACTCAACAACACTGTTGGTGATAGATGGTACTGCACAGTACCAATCTGGCTTTTGGAAGCTGGATTTGACCCAGGGATGCCTTACATCCCTAATCCAGATAGACAGAGCACTGCCGCCAAGATTTTGGTTGGACTGTGCTATCGGCTTTGCTTAGATATGACAACCAAGAAAAACCAAGATTAGTCAGCCCATAGAGCGCTGGAACAACCTTCTGGAACTGGTGTGCTTCAGACTGGAGCCCTTTGTTTCGCTGCAGTACATATGTCACGTTCCAAGTGCATGGAAAACTACATCTCATCATTAAATAACGTGACACAACTCCAGACTTTGACTGCCGACTAATAAAATCAGCTTCTGGAGAGCTTTTCCAGTGTTTTGTACGCTTCAGAGCAACAGAGGGCAAGTAAAAAAAAGCTATTAAGTCACTCCAACATGATTCTACAGTTCATGGGAGAGATCTCAAGCTTGAACATACTGTAAGCGAGCACTGTAAATACAGAAGACAGTACAGTGTGTTAAAACAGTGTCTGTTTTGTGGACAAAGACTATAATTACGGCTTGTGTAGAGTCACCCTGGGCTGGGATTCCCTTGCTTGACCTGACGTAACCTTAACCTGGTTCTGCACTAGGTCAGCATATCATTTTCACCCTTACATGCTCTTTGCAACTCTTTAAAGATTATTAATGATCTGAGCTGGATTCAAGAACATCTGAGTGACAAAAACACACAGACAGCAAAACAGCATCATCTTCACTGACCACATAAATTGACAGAGAGTCACTTTTAAGCCTGGCCAGCTGATTGTTTTTTGGTAGGTTTATTCATCTTGGTCATGATGTTCAGGTCAAGGTCCACTGGAGCTGTGGCTCTAACCAGCCCTTCAATTATTGTGGCACCACGATGGAAGGAGAAGCCTTTGGCTTAATGCACGACCAGCAGATTGCTGGGGTTTTGAGGCTCTGTGTGTGTGAGAGAGAGAGGGATACTTTACTGTAAAAGAGTTTGTGTCTGTGTGCAAAAGGTCACGAAGTTTAAACGGAGTTCTGTATCATGCTCAAATTTCGGAGATTGTCGTCTAGATTGTGGCTGTGTTTGGAAATAGACAAGCGCAAGGAAGTAGTTATCTGCCACAGATTCCCTTTGCACAGCAAATACATGCTCCTAAGCTGTGCTTTTGACACAATTTAATTATAAAGTACTTGGCAAGCAAAAGTGATTTATTGTCTATGCACATGGGAAAATGGGAAACAGTGGTATACAGTTGCAGCCATGAAACTTCCTGTGATGTGTTCATGTTAAAGCTAATGCAGATGTTGCAACAGTGGATGCTGGTTTAGATGCACATTGCAAGGGAGCAATGCATTAATTTATGCACAGTAAAAACATAGAAAAAATTACCATAAATCATAGAACAGCAGAGATAGCAACTACATATCTTCACACTGGTTGAGTGAACAAATATGAAGTCAAAATGAGCAGCTGTTCTTAAACAGCTGTATATATTTTTTCTTTACATTCCTTATCAATAGACCTAAGACTTCCTTCATGGGAAAGTAATATTTTCTAATCATTCAACTTCTCTCAAAAACTCTAACTTGTTTACCTGAAGTGTTTAACCTGCTTTTCACATCTCACCTTGCACTTTGTTGCCACTTGGTCACGTTCCACGATCTCTCTGATTCTGATTTCCTGAATGACTTAAAAACCTTTTCTCCAACACAATTTGGTGACCGTTTAACAAAGAAACAGTTAAACAGGAGGTGCATTTGGACACTATATCAATGTGTATCCGCAGTATTGACATGGGTTTTGTCATTGCAGGCTTCAGGCTAGTGGCACCATGAGGTCAGCCTGTCTCTCTCTGCTCCTGGTCACCGCCTGCTGGGCTCTGCCGTTCCGTCAGTCCGGCTTCTTGGACTTCATGATGGAAGATGAAGCTGGATCAGGTGATCCAGTGCCTGGAGAGAGAGACATTCCTCCTGTACTTGAAGGACCTAAGTGCCCCTTCAGATGCCAGTGCCACCGGCGTGTGGTCCAATGCTCTGACATTGGTAAGATTACACTCCTCACTGTGATGCCTCACATTGTTGTGCAATGTTGCACAGGTGAGCTATGGCATATACAACTCAACATGAAACTAAAGAAACTGCACAGAGGTAGTAATTAATCATTCTTCTCATGGGGTGTTTGATTGTCTAAGCAAATTCCAAAACAAGTTCCATCTCAAGTTCCGATGGTACAAGTTTTTGCAAATAAGAAAACTTCAGCTGTCTTTGCAGCTTATGGTCACAACCCTCTTGTCAACGTTCTGTTTTTTTACTTCCAGTCCACCATTTGGTGCTCTGTCTCGAATTCCAAAGTATTGAGCTAAGTTTAATGGATCAGATGCAGAGGTCAGACAAGTGGCTGCAGTAGTTTTACTGTACTTTTACTGGTCTTGAACAGACATATAAGTCACAGAGTTTCCCCCACTCCACCCAAACCTCTTGGGTCATTTGAAGGGTATATTGTGTTACTCATTACTGTGAAGTCCCCCAGAGAACATGAAGCCAGTGTTGATATGTTAAACACTCACAGATGCTGTGAGCCTTACTTCACTTCCTGTAACAAATGTATCATCTGCTCTTTCTGGGCAATTTATTTTCTTAAACAGCAGTGAAGATTAAAGGTTGGCTAGGACTTTAAGTCTCGAACCAATGCTGGTACCCCAACCCACACAAAGCCTAAAGCTTACTTAAGGTTATTCACAGATGACTACAGACTAAAATGTCTTTACTTTGGCAAAGTCATAACAGTTTACTCAATTGTCATCATTGTACCATGGCGCTTATCTGCTATGTTTGTCTAATCTGATGTAAAACATATACAACAGTTTGAGTCATCCCAACAAACAGAGTCACAGAAAGTCACAGAAAAATCTTTCTTGAGTGACTTTTTTTCTCTTTTTTGCTTATGACAAAAAGTGCCTGCTAGACAGTCGAGTTTGATCGTTTTTTGGCTCTGGTGTTGTTTGTAAAGGGAGAGGCACGATGTTCAAAAGGACAGATGAAGGAGAAGGGAGTGGTTTTTACATAAAAGAAGAGTGAACAGACATCAGGAAGCCAAAGATGTTCTGGATAAAGGGCAGAAATCAGAGTGTGAACTAAAAGTAGTGTTTAGTGACAGTCAGATGAGCAGGTGTCCCAAGCGATCAAGCTGCAATCAGGCGGTCAGAGAGAGACAGTCAGACAGAATGATGGTCAGTAAAAGACCAGTTCCATGACATCATTGCTCCAGACGCGGTAGCTCACAGCAGCACTTTCCCCGAAGAGACAGCCCCATGTCTGGTTTCTTCAATTCTGCATGAACACAGTTGGCCCTGAACCCCCATCTGCTTCCCAGACCTGCTGGCATGCTCAAAAACACACACTCGCAAATACACACATACACACACACACACACACACACACCGGGACAATGAACATGTGGGTTCCAACATATGCAGACCTACGTTACACAAATTATGTTGCTTAATGTCCAAAAGCATATATGTTTTGGGGTTCATGTATGATGGTAGCAGAACCACTCAGAAAAGTAAATAAAATTATGGTGTTTCCTCATGATGCATTTTTCTTTTCAACATTTTCTGACAGAGAATATTGAAAGACTTTCAAACTCAAGCATCGTTTTTCCTTGGAAAAGTATCAGATACATGATGCATTTTTTCAAACAAGTGATTGTGAAAGACATAGCCCAGCTTGCCACAACTAACTATGTCTCTGAACACCAAAGAAACACTTCAAATAATATATATAGGAAATTAAATACAATTCCACAATTTAAAATAGCATTTCTGTTGTTCTTTTGTGAAATTAAGACAACTTTTTTAACCTGCAATTTTTCCATTATTTAGTATTCACAGTTGCATATTTTAAAGCTGAAATGCTTATAAGAGACACATCATAAAGAAATGGTCAGTGAGCAAAGTCTTGGACAGTCTGAATTTTACAAAAGAACAATGAAAAGAAGAATATGCGCTGGGAATGAGGTATAAAGTTTGCTGGTGCTGCAATGATGGCGGCGACCACAAACAGCTGTGATGGTTTGTGGCTCATTCGCTGCAGAGTTGGAAAAGAAAGAAAACAAACCTAGCAGGATGTCATATTTGGGTGAGTTGAAGCGAAGTCGTCATGAGTTTTGATGCCAAATTCAGCCCTGAAACACACACGTATGTGGACTGAGAACGCCGAGTGTATGCTGCTTTGTTAAACAGTTTACTCCATGCCTCTTCCTCTCAAATGGAAAGTGACTGTTATGAATCTCAGAGTATTTTTTGTGACACCGCAGAAGCATGAAGGTGTATCTCCGTATTTGCTCAGTTCTCAAAAACAGTCTACAAACCCAAACAGTCAAGACAGATGGTTTAGTTTGCCCTGCTAAAACCCAAGCCAAACAAAACCTTGTGACTCTGGTGTCCAGGTGTGCCACCACTCACTTGCTCCAAGGGAAATTTGTTTGAAGGTTGATTTCCTCCATGTGTGCCTTTTGAGCACACCAAATCGATTTTGTCTCCCAGGAATGTTGCTACTTCTCAAAAGCTTGGCATCCAGCAGAATCAAATTACTAAAGAATCAAAGTACTTTTTTTCTTGAGATTAAACAACCGATCTACAGATAAGCAGTCAAAGTTCATACTCACATATGAGACAAATGATAATGCTGAGACACCCTTTTTATATTGTGATCCTGGCAGGATTGAGGCATAAGTGGACAACTATGGGCTCCAAGGGCCAATTCCCTGCAGTTGTTAGAGGTGTCCCTGCCTCAGTACAACTGACTTAGATCTCTTCACAAGATTCTTCACAGGACTGCTGATCCTGCATTGTTTTTGTATGTTGACAACAGTCACATAGCGCATGGATTTGACCTGTTTCTCTTTGGAATTCCTGATCAGGCCTGAAGACAATTCCAGGAGACATTCCCGATGACACCACCCTGCTGGACCTGCAGAACAACAAGATCACTGAGATCAAAGAAAATGATTTCAAGAACCTCAAAGGACTACATGTAAGACTCTTTTGCACACAAATGTCCTCAAAGCACCTTGAGACCTTGTGATTTAGGAAATATAATTCATACGGCTACAACAAATAGTTTAGATCCCATTAATCTTGGCAAGTCAACTTTTATGCTTAAACCTATCTAAAGGGCCAATAGTAACCCAATAGTAAGTGGGTGAGAAAAAAAATCCACTTGGCAAACAAGCTAGAGTCTTACAGCTTCATGAGATAAAACAGTTGCAAAAACATTGGAAAATTCTAAACTTCCAGCCTTTCCCAACCCCACACCCCAAACAAATCCTCCTCCACAGTGAAGACTAGTACTACCACTCCCCTAGTCACCAGGTGCAGGAAAAGTATTCACCCCGAGGCCTTATTGTCTTACACCTCCAAACTCCGGCAGCCCTTTTTCTTGCAATAAATACCTCTGTCTGGCGGCCAGGTCTGTTTCTTCTATAATGTGACTGGCCTCTTAAGGGGAATGGTCCACATGCTTCGCATTGCATCCTGTCTGTCTGCTTTCCTGCATAAAGTGCATTAAGAGTAATTCATAGTGGACATGAACTGGCCTTTTTTTCCTAAAGCACAAATAACAAGCCAAAGAATCTGAAGTGCATTGAGCAATGAATTCTCAGTGGAAACCCGCTAAGGGGTAAAGTTCAAATTCCAAAAGAAAAGAATGTTAAACAATAGTGTTATTCAGTACAGGGCTACCATTTTCTCTTTTTTGGATAAATTAAATTTCTTTATCATATTTTTCCAAAAGTTTCGCAATTTTACCAAATTTTTCTGGAGATGACGACAACTCGGTCTGACGTATGAGCGATCACAACTAGAATCTATTTGTTTTTTCTTCAACCTTACAGGCTCTGATTCTTGTGAACAACAAAATCACCACTATCCACGCCAAAGCCTTCAGCCCTCTGACAAATCTGCAGCGCCTCTACCTGTCCAAGAACTTACTGAAGGACATGCCTGCTAACATGCCAAAGAGCCTGCAGGAGCTCCGCATCCACGAGAATGAGATCACCAAGATCAAAAAGGCCTCCTTCCAGGGCATGTCCCATGTCATCGTCATGGGTATGAAAAAAGATGCTTTGGATTTGTTTGGGATGGATCTACTGCATCCAAATGTATGGACTGTTATCTGAATGGGTGGCAGCAAACCTTTGATGGGTTCTGTATTTATCTCAGTAGTATAAGCAGGTCAAACCCAAAGGGAGATGGCATTAGCTTGCGTGGTTTTAGGGTAGTTTTGGTAAGTGTAAGGATTTGAACAAGCAAAGTTACCGGCTAGCATAGTCTTTGACTCAATGCATTGCTGTAAACTGTAGCAGTATTGGTAAGCCAAGTGTCCTCTTATACTTCCTCATTCAGAAGAAACAAAAAACATAATTTTCTTTGCTTTCTTCCCATAAATATACCTCTTATATATCGTAAACTTTCCTGTACCCCAACAGACAAGGATAAGGTTGCTTAAAATGCAATGAACTGAGTTTCACTGTGTCAAAAGAAGTTAAGCTATTCAGAGTGTGACTTTGTCAGTCCAGCACACCTGCAGATGAGTTACCGTTGTAGACATGCTCCATTAGTGGCTGCTGTTGTACATTTTGTTCATGTTTTTCAAATAACCTCCGTCCGTCTTTTTTTCTTTTTAGAACTCGGGTCAAACCCTCTGAAGAGCGCAGGCGTTGAGGCCGGGGCTTTTGCTGACCTGAAGAGGGTGTCTTACATTCGAATTGCCGACACTAACATCACAGAGATCCCTAAAGGTAAAGTTTTCCCGACTGCCCTGACGAGGAATTCCCAACATCGTACTCGGTACAATTCCACTCCGCCTGGGCCAAAAACAACCATCTTCTCTCGAAAGAATGTTTAACTGGATTATGGTCGGCTTTAAACAAAAGGCTCAATGTGAAAAAAGACATAACTCACTGCAAAGCCAAGAAACTTAAAACTATACAGTTTCACGAAGGGAATATTAAGTGACATGAGGCATGAGATGTCTTTTCAGTTTGTTACACCATCTCTGAAATCTACGTAGGAGAATCTGTTTTCTGATGTTTTTCTGATGTCCTGAAAAGCTAGTATCTTGTGGGTCAACAGGTCTTCCCAGCTCCCTTTCAGAGCTTCACTTGGATGGAAACAAGATCACCAAGGTGACAGCTGAGAGCCTAAAAGGCCTGAAGAACCTTGCCAAGTAATGAAAGCTATGATTCCTACTCTCTTTTTTTTCTTTAAACAGCAACCCATATTGCAGTCTTGTGTGTTAGCATATGATGCAATAAAGACAAGTAGAAGCAAAAAATATATATAACAGAGGGTAAAGGTGAAATGTAATTATGTATTTTCTCTTTGGGGCGAAAGCAGCACATGCAGGAATAACTTATCCTTCTGTGCTTCTGATGTTTTTCTGTCACGTCTCCTTTCCACATTCTACCACCAAGCAGTGTCATTTGCAGTTGCACTAAAGAGGTATTTTATGTCCTTGGTAGTAAAATTATTATCTTACGCCGAAAATAAATGTGTTGCTACACTGCAAAATGGGACGTTTCAACAGGGACAAATGTTTGAAGCTGAGGGTGTTCTATGAATGGAACGAGAATAACATGGTTTTCATTTTCCATGTTCTCATAACCAGCAGCCACATCCAATATATTAGAAAAGCAATAGCCAGGATTCTCTACATGCTCATTTCCTTAACTGAATCTCTTTTTAATTAACTAACATCAATTTTGGCAGTGGGAGACTAACTTGAATGTCACCCGCTCAGTTTTGCAACTTTGCAATTTTGGGCTTTTGTGTTTCTTGTTGGCCACACATGACTCATTCATCTGGGGATTTTTCCTGCAGGCTTGGTCTGAGCTACAATGAGATCAGCTCTGTGGAAAATGGCACTCTAGCTAACGTACCCCACCTGCGAGAGCTGCACCTGGAGAACAACGGCCTGACCAGCGTCCCCCCTGGCCTGTCTGACCATAAGTACATCCAGGTAGATGCTGGTTTTTCTTCACATCAGAACTTGAATAGTTCTTGTATTTTAGGGCTATTAATCCAGGTCTGAATCCACAATATGATCACAGTAGGATTATCTTTTACAACCATTTTACAAATAAACAAAACATGGTAGCTTTGATACTCGCCTAGAGTGGGATCTCACACAGCTAATCTTCTCTTATCTGAACCATACGGCAATTGTTTACTCTATGTCGTTTTTGCATTTGCTTTGTTTAGCTTCATACTGCTTGATTATAAGTCAAGCAAAGCTTCCACAACAAAAGTCACATGGACTCATTTAGTTTGAGTGGGTTGGTAGCCTGTGATATGACGTGATTTTATTTAATTTTCTTTGTCTCAGTAGGGAAAATGGATACTTTCTAGTTTTCCCAATTGGCCTCACTCACGCTTTGTCTAAATAAAATGTATTTTTTTGGAGTAATTTTCTGGAATCTAATAAACCATAACAGGAAAAACCTGTAAGCAATCTTGCTATGTTTTTCTATGTCTACTATTACGTTAATGGCAAAGTTTTAACATCCATATCCAAACAAATCTGTGGAAAAATCAGACAAAACACCCCGTAGGCTCACAGCACTTTACTTTTTTATTTTTTATTTGGCTCAGACTCTGTCAAAACTACATTACTAAACTGTTTGATCATTTCTTACAATCACATTCACATGAATATAGTGTCAATGTGTGTTGAAAAACATACATTTACATCCAAGTTCTAATCTTCTACACAGGAAGAATACTTAAAGGTCACCCTAAAAGTATTAGTACCAATCTTAAGTGATCAGTCTAAAGCACGGTGTTTAATGGAACTCTTTTCTTTTGAGTGGACACCTCAGTCTGCAGTCATAATTTTCTGATGATTCTTAAGGCCGATTTGTTTCACAAGTAACTTTAGTTATTGACTGTGAACATGTAGGAAATACTTTCCCACTGTTTTTGGTTGAAGAAATATCAAACTTAAATGGCGGCATAATTAGAGGCAAACAAAAGTTAGTGAGTAAGTAACTAAAAAAGTCATTTTTGTTTGCCTCTAGATTTGCCATTATTAGAATTTGTGTCTAAAAAAACTGAAATGAATGCCATGCATGTTTCGCTCAGCGGCCAAATGTTATTTTAATCCCTTCTCCAGGTGGTCTACCTCCATGCCAACAAGATTGCCGCTGTGGGAACAGAGGACTTCTGTCCTCCAGGCTTCAACACCAAGAAGGCCATGTACTCTGGCATCAGCCTTTTCAGCAACCCCGTACCATACTGGGAGGTTCAGCCCGTCACCTTCCGTTGCGTCTCTGACCGCTCCGCCGTCCAGCTCGGAAACTACAGGAAGAAGTAAAGCAACTTGAGCGCCCCCCCCCCCCCCCCCCCAAACAAAAAAGTGTGTGTTTGTACATGATTGCTTGAAAGTTTTGTAAGTGTGCGTGTTTGATCATAGCCCAATAACACTGACCCACTCTCCCCCCTTTACAGTACCACCATGCCATAAATGATATTGACTTACTCACAATTCAACACTCTAGTCAACGTGGACCTCTAACACAGCTTTTAGTTATCCAGCATCAGTTATACACACACCCTATCGCAAACACCACAACACTACGCTGACACTCTCAGACACAGCACAGCTGTCATGGACCTGTTAGGCAAGCATTCACATTCCAACGCTGTCCTTACATACATGTTGTAACATATTAATGTGGATAATATGTGCAGTTTGTTCAGTAGATGAATTTGAATGCAGAGATGAATCCATACCAAAAACATTTGAAATCCCTTTCTCAGTGGAAAAAAGAAATTGTGACAAATCCCAGTTAGTCATTGAATGAATTGTACTAAAGCTTGCCTGTAGAGCAGGCAGCAAGGATAACCTGTATTTCAAAGTACCTGTAACAGCTGGTTTTCTAGAATGTATTAGATATTGTCTATGTACTAGGAGTAGCATTCAGAGTGTAACATTACCAAACTGCACTCCATGAAAGAACTTGAGTTTCTATTTGCATTGTACTCAATACAAGTAGAGATAAAAGCAACCGTGACTTCTATCACATTGTGATTTCTTGTGCTTACTTCAGTTTTCACACTTTTCTTCATAACTTGTCATCCCCTGTTCCTCTTCAAGTGTGTGTTTTCCATAAAAAAAGATGAAAATAGCTTCTAAAAATGTAGAATAAACCATTTATATATTAAATAGAAGCCTCTCCCAAAGATTATATGCATGCTTTTTTTTTTTTGGTCTTTCAGCTTAAAAATGTTACTTTAGGTTTCCCTTGTTAAAAGTTTGTGTGCATTTCTCTCAATGTTCACCAGTTCTGTATCTCTGTCTTTAAACAGTGAAGGTGATTGGAGGGTGTCCACAGCACCCTATGCTGGTGTGAATGTTGTATGTATAGATGCTGTATATAAATGCTGTATAAAAAAATCTCTCATTGCTTAAAGGCACTAGCACTTACTATAGCTCGACTTAATATATCTGCAATAAATGGGTTTCTCTTCCCCTCACCTCCACCAGAGCAAGGGCTCCAACAAAGGGGTCCTGATCAAAATAAAAATACTAATGAAAAAGAAGGTTTTAATGGTTGGAATGACATGAATTTGCTCAACTGTCAATGGGAGAGACTGGCTTCAGGGCACTGAATGCCATGGCTGTATTAACAGCCCAAAGGCAAACAGGGCAGCAGGCTCCTGGCGAACAGGGAGAAGAGGAGGCACAGGCGCGATCTATACTGGAAACAGGTGAGGAACCTTTATCAACCTCACAGAAGACTAAAATACTGCAGAAAAAGAGGCAAATAAAGAAAGAAAACAAGTCTGGACAAAGATACCAAAGTGTCCAAGCTGCTGATGTTTCATTTTATATAAGGCTTCTGACTTTGTGATCTCCTAAACCTTTAAATGAAAATAACATAAGTCAGCCTTCAAACATATTTCAAACTGATTGACACTTCAAAGTGTTCCAATCTTCTTTTATTTCTATCAAATACTCTCTTTGAACAAAGCACCGTTTTCTTGGCATCTGCTAACAATAAGTCACATTACAGATGCTAGCTCACACCATAGAAACTGTACTCCTGTCAAAGGGTAAATATGGGTCAGATACCCACCATGCTTTCAAAGAATTGCACCATGGGAACTATCAATCAAAGCAAGCTCCCAGCATGAAGAGACAAGGTTTCATAGATGTGCAAGAAATAGTTATGTGGTTCTCAGTTTTTTACATTTTTAATAAACACAGAATTGTGGATTGAACAGTGTCCAACCCAAGTGTCCCTAACAGCCCTGGATGATGGTGAAAACTATAACCTGTGTGATCAGTTTCAGAGGATAATCCAAGCATGCACTGGCCACCACGGAGAGAACACTCTGGGCAGGGGTCTGGCTCATCACAAGATGCACTCTAACATTTACAGCACATTTCATATGCATCCACATACACAAACCGACAGAGAAAGCAGTCAGTATATAGTTTCCTGTCCAAGATGTTTATGGTTTGTAGACGGAAACCAGAATCCCCACAGGAGTGAATTTGTACACTTACTACACAGGTCTGAAGGTTACATTACAGATATTGATGAGGTATTCATAGAAATCATCAGCTGATGAATTATCTAGCCATCCTACAGCAACATCTCAGTTGACATGGTACAGTAAGTAAAAGACAAAAGAATATAAGCAAGCTATTGTCTATCAACTGGCTTCTATTCACCCCATTCAACTCATATTGGTGGATTTTACATATGTTTACATGAGGGCTATTTCTGGTCTGTGAAAACCACAAATTCAGCCATTTTAGGTCAAAAATAAAAAAAGGTTGATATTTAAAACTTTTGGGCCTGACCATGTTGAGAGGCATTTTGTGACGATGCTTCCTGACTCTGCTTTGAAATTATTCAGTAATCCAAAACTGGTATATTACCACACTTACCCAGAAGACCTTCATGACTAATATTTTGGGTTAATACATTTTTTTCCTAGTCTTACCACACTTATTTATGCACATGATGAGGGTTTTATACCGCCTGATATTAAAGTCATCTCCAGACAATGCTCTTCGAGCGCACGGTCACAGCAAATGATGAGTGCTCTAAACGGCATTATCTTCACCATCCATTCTTCATGCTGAAATGAATAAAGGTTTAATTATCTATTTCAATGACACCATCTTGAGAACATGGGCCAATTACTGTGTTATATTGTAATAATCAGTGCTTCTTTAAGAAATAATTACTTCATTTATTTTGCTATCGCGTTAACTATTTTTTTTTCCTTAGAAAAAGATGAATTTACACATTATCTCACAGGACAATAATGGCAAACTTGGAAGGATTTCTGATTAACTTAATGTGTCCAAATTTAAATAGTAAATATCACAGTTGGAGAGGATCATGATAGATGGGTTAGATGGACGTTTTTCTCTCAAGTAGTTAGTTTTACAGCAGAGTGGGCCAGTTAGCTTTTTGTGCTTCAGATGAAGGATGGATGATAAAAACATGAAGCAGGAAAAAACAATGGCTAATCATAGTTTTTATCCAAATTGGCATCCAATTGAGAGCACGTTGGCAGGTCATGTGATTTAGATACACTACCAAAATATATTGAAATTCAGACCAAATAAGCTGGGGCTGAAACAAGCTACCTGCAGTTACTGTCTGACTTACACAGATGGGCGGGACTCATTACCTCCATGTTCAAAAACGTATGTTGTTTCAAGTCAAGCAAATCTTTAACTTATTTAAGTACTTTGAATAATGCAGCCTTAGCAACTGGTTTTGGGGCCAAACCAAACAGCAAGTAAGCTGAATTTCCATAACAAACTAAAATTGTCGCCATAACTGTTTGTATGATGCTGAAATAATATTATGTTTTCATATCTTAAAACAAGCAGTTTCCTTGCAAAGAAGACATAACTCCCCCATGGCATATATTTCCAACAATAGCCCCAGGGGCACTGTCTGAGTGGTGCTAGATTGGACATTTAACATGTTTCACATCCAGATCCACATTCTATTCCCACCATCAAACCCAGTACATTTGAGATCAAATGGATTGACTGGGAAAGCATGAGTGTCTCTGCAAGAATGCATGCTTGAAATCATAAATGTCGGGAATCAAGATGGAAATACTACCAGCAGTTTTCCCAAATATCAAATTAAAAAAAAATATTAGAAAATATTAGAAACATTTTCAAAGGGTTATGGTTATCTTAGAATTCCCCTTCTCTGACGCGAGTTGGGGCTTGGACTTCCCTTACCCCAGGACAAAGTATCACTGTTTAAGCTTTGGAGCTCATCCCAGGCCTCAGAGTGAGTTCAGTTCAGCAATATGAATGCACTTCAATCTATTGCCCCCATGTGGTGATTATCAGCCAAGCACTTTCTATTTTCTGTCCACCTCTTGACATAAGTCACACAGACATTCATGTGCTGCTCACTACCTGATGCTCTGAACAGACATCTATCTTCCACACCCTGAGAGGTCAGATATATTGCTTTGGGCCCACTGCCAGTATTGCTGTGTGTTTAGGCATGTGTCTTTATCTCATGTGTGGGAAGACTGAGGAATAGTTGAGTTGTGTGCGTCTGTTCCATCAGATCACATTTGCACACATGCACCCCGTGCTTGTGTGTGCTGGGAACTTAGTCCCCAATCCTCCTAACAAAAGTGCAACATGTTCAACTCTGCTACTGGTACAATGTGAGACATTTAAAATCTTAGAAAATGGGAGTCCACTGATTAAGATTGCAACAGCAGCCCATCATTTTAAGAAATGTGGGTGTTGATGCTGTGATGTAAGGGGATTTGAGCAAGGAAGAGCAGAAGGCTGCTGCATTAACGAGATCTTCTGAGCGGATTTTGTTTGCAGGGTCACTCCTGCAGCACATGTGAGCCCATGAGACACACGGTGAGAGAATCCCCTGGCCTGAACAGGGATGAGTCTCTGTTGTAAGCACGGTACTTAACGCATGACCACACGGCAGGAACAGAAGGTGGTGTCTGGGCACTGTCTGAGATTTTATTAGAAGCTTCTGTGTGACTCCGCCAAACAGGTCCAAGAATATCCTGTTTGCTAATGTGCTTGCTCGGATCTCCATCTGTGCACCTCTGACAGAGCATGTGTATGTGTGCTCCAGTTGCAAAGAAGTTTTTTCCACTTCACATGTGTGTTGAATTCGTGTGTGTGCGTTGCAGCAAAAGAAGACTGAAAATGATAACATTCTGCAGTGCACTGTAAACTACCACTTTTAAGCTTCTGAGTTTGATCCTATGGAGATTCTTGAAAAACTACTTGTACAAATCAGTCATGTGGAAACAGCTGTTACAGTGGACAAAATACATGTATGTTTACATTTTTTTAAATCCACACAATGTAATGCATTTTACAGTATGTATGTTAAAAAAAAAAAACAGGAAATATGTATAAAAAAAGGAAAATCCA